ACATTCATTAAACATACATTAAGCTAAAATTAAATGCCATAGAGCGGCATATTGACAGTTCATATAGGAAATTAAAACTGGTTCAACCTGTATGTCGCCCAGCACCATACTAAAGGTTAGGTTTTTATAACTTGTGGAATAGCAGCACACAGCAGAGCCCTTTGACACAGATACATCAGCTCCATAAGCCAAGGTCACAGCCACATGGCTCCTCTGGTCCGATTCAGTCTTATCCGATCAGTTGAGTAGATATGAGCAGAGTGAAGGGCATGATGATAAACGACTTTATGATCTGCAATGTTTTACAGGCTCTACTAACTATTCTTTGTGCTTCCCCACAGACTGGGTACCTGATCTTTATTGCCAGCATGTTGGTGGCCAGGACCTACTGTGACGTGTGGATGATCCAGAACGGTACCATGATTGAAAGGTCAGAGTCTGGCTTCACACTTTCATTATTATTGAAAGGTGATTTTAAACGTATACTCGGGGTCACCATGCAGCAGCCATGACGACCCTATTAGTCTACACTCAATAAATCTGCAACTGACAGTACAGTACAGAACAGTCTGTGACAGTGGCATATTTTTATCAGTTCAACCCAAAAAACCCCAAACAGAACCAGTGGGCTGTATAGTCATGCAGGTGTATTCTGTTTTTTGTGTTTTTGTGCCTTCAAATTGATATATAATAGAGATTAAAAAAAAAATTCTGTAACATTAAAAGAATGACATAAGAAACGTTTAGACAATGTAACAAATTTTGTCCAATAGTGTACACTTTCTCATGACAATCCACAGAGCTCATTGCCAACAGTTTTCATAGCAACGGCACATCTAATGCGGATTGTCTAGTCATTCCAGGCTATAACAAAAGCAGCTTTACCAACTTTATATTTAACCGTAACATCTAGAAGAACAAGCCAGATTACCTTATAGATGAGTTTATATTGGAAGCGGGTCAGAGAAATGTATCCTTCCAAGAGAACGACGCCATTTGCGATAAATTAACTAGTGCACAGTCCCCCCATCGCTCTCCTCCTCCTGCCATCTACAGTCTGTACTGACAGTCACTCTGCAGTAGGGGTGAGTATTGGCAAGAAC